CTCTGGTACTACTGGGCTCGCTATTGGGTCACTTCCATGAAAAGCAATTCTATCACATGCAGCAGTTGGTTTGGCACTGTTCAACTATTACTACCCCAATTTTCCGAAAACGGGCCGGATCTTGATCGACTTTTTCTACGGGGGCAGATTTGGCTGAAAGTTGGGTTCTAGAGGTAATTCGACCTTCTGAACACGAATCATCCGCTCGGTCTGAAACCGCTCGGCGCCCGCGCCAAAGTACCCTAGATCACCAAATCCGCTGAAAACTTGTGCCCAGGGGTAGTTCGACCTCCTGAACACGAATATCACATCCGCTCGGCCTGAAACCGCTCGGCGCCCGCGCCACAGGCGCCGGCGCCAAAATGCCCTAAATCACTGGCGCCTGTGGCGCGGGCGCCAGGCACTTTCAGGCCAAGTGGATGTGATATTCGTGTTCACGAATTACCCCTCAAACCCAAATTTCAGCCAAATCTGGAAATGGAAAAAGTCGATCAAGATCCGCAAAATTGGGGTAGTTGAATAGCGCCGTTGGTTTTTGACTGCAAAGTGGCAGCAGCTCTTCTCCTTCGAATATTCAGGGAGTTCACGTCAGATGCTACTGCGCACTCAGACGACAAAGGACAATGCCGTCGAGTGCAACTCCGAGAAGTATCAATGGACCGCTCGAAAAAAACGGCAGGAACTTAGAATAAAAGCCATACGGGAAGTTGCTGCTTACCTGGATGGAACTCAGTTTGGTCTGTGCTATTATTAATTAGATGCACCTAAAGGTAATGTCGAAGAGCCACTTCTATTCCGCAAAACATATGTCCTCCAATGAGCGTGCATTCACTTGTATTGAGGCAAAAAGTCGCTCTATACTAACTAGGGATGGTCGCCAGGTCGAAATGGCCATTTGTAAAGAGACGTATATCACGGGACGTGTTTTTGAACGCTGATTTCAAATCTGCCTTCGAAATTTGCAGAACGATTCTCTGAACGGAATTATGAAGGTTTGTTCGAATGAAGGAACACGGAGTCGAGCGTGGTTGCCAGCCAATTTGCTTGAATAGCCGCGAAGCGCAACAATAATTATCGGTAGCAAGTGTAGTGGTGGTTGTCTTTCTTCATAGGTATGCCATGGAGGTCCGGGTTTTGAGGAGGGCAATTATTGCATTTTGTGAGTAACATCTGTTTTGAGTCTAGAAAAAACCTTCAATTACCAAATGTGTCATGTTTGTGCAGGAAGCACTCGGGGCAGATTTCTAGCTAACTGTGAGACCTTGACCTAACTTTGAAAAAGTGCGGCAGCAGAAAGATCGAATGGTGGTCACCAGTAGTTCCAGGGCCAGTCTCTTGTATA